ACAAAGGAATTAGCATATAATTTAGCATTGAAATGGCTCATTGAAATAGCTAAGTTAAAGTATACACATCCGCAGAGGTACCCCTTGACAAAGGAATTAGCATCGAATTTAGCATTGAAATAGCTGAGTGATTAGCTTGTAACTGGTCACAGAAATAGCTATGTTAAAGTTAGAGCATATACATTCACCGAGGCACCTAGTACTCATCAAACAGGAGAATTTAGCTAAACACAACCACGCTCAGACATCGGACCTGTGTGCGAGCAAACAAGGTGTTCTGACAAAGAAATTAGCATAAAAAATAGCATTTGATTGGCGGATTTTAGGAAAGAGGTGGTGTACGTGCCGGTGGACTTGCAGTTTGGCGCGGGGGGGGGGGGGGGGGGAAAGGAGGGAGGGGGGAGTTTACCTATTGATGGTGTGAAAAGGGGGAATTTATAAGAGCTGCGAAAGTTTGGGGTACCACTTCACCTACGTGACTTTACCCAATAGAACCAAAGAGTATGGATCCTAGCAGTCACGAAAGCTTTAAATCTAGAAATGCATTGGGCTCTATGGTGCAGAGTCTTGATGAGGGAACGCTTGGCGTGTAGTGCCGGCCCTTACAGGATAGGGTGTGGGAGTGCCGGACATAGAAATGGGGTTGACCCGAGAGGACACGTGACCGGTAAAGTCTACACAGGGCCCCCAGGTGGAGGCTAGGGGGTGGTCACGAGGTCAGGGTCCAGATCCTGCTAGAGGATTCTAGAAGGTGGTCGTGGCCAAGGGCGGAGCCAGCCACATCGCAGAGGATATAAGCCAGGTCCCCCAGAAGGGCCGGTGTTGTTGTTCACCTTCGTCAACATACTACGTTCTACCGAGTCTCCAACACGTGGACCGGGACCCGAGCTGTGGTCCAGTCCGTTGTAGCTAGTTACGTTGTAATTAGTGTAGTTAGCCTGGTGGTCACCACCATAGGTTATTCTGTAAAGGGGCAGTTACCTCGTGTGTTGGTGTTAAATAAATGTGTTGCCTCCAGGAGTACGTCTGCGACTCAGTTGAACTCACTACAGTAGTAACTACTGACTATCATAGTCTCTACCGACTCTATAGTAGAAACTACAGATTGTACAGTAGTATCTACCGACTCTACGGTAGTATGTAGTGACTCGATAGTATCTACTAACTGTATAGTAGTATTTACGGATTGTACAGTAGTATCTACCAACTCTACAGTAGTAACTACCGACTTTAGAGTAGTATCTACAGACTCTATAGTAGTATATACTGAATCTAGATTTGAAGCTTTCCCACCTGATGACGGACGCTTGTGTTGCGCCCGAAACGTGGTTTATTTTATTTTATACCTACGTGACTTTACCAGAATAAACAAATAGTATAGTATCTACTTAGTCTACAGTAGTACCTACTGATTGTAGTAGTATCTACCGACTCTGTAGTCGTAACTACCGACTCTATAGTAGTACCTACTAACTCAAAAGTAGTAACTGCACACATTGGGGTGGTGGGGGAGAAGAGGACATCATACTGTTCAGGTTTTACCTCAGCGTGTACTTGCAGCAGTAACTATGCTTGATTTTTTTTCTTGTTCACCTTTTTAATGCGAAGGAGAAGCTCCCTCACGTCGCCGCTCAGCGAGCTCATGTGCATTGCTAGGGGCAACAGCGAGTCAGCGTTCCTGCGCGTGTGCAGATGCGTGCTTTCGGCGCCATGATCAGTGTAATAATACATTGTTATAAAGAGTGAGTTTATTAAGTTTACATTTAAGCGAGGGGAAAAACAAATAGCGCGTTTTCGTCCTGGAGCTTAGTGTGTTGTATCTGTGTACTTTGTTGAAAGGTAAACCCAAGAGTTTGTCAGATAAACGCGTTGCAAGGCGTGCGCAGACAGACAGACAGAAAGACTGACAGACAAAAAAATGACATTTATAGGTAAAACTAGCAGGAAGTAATCGGCTTTGCCCGGGGGCAAATATATTTCAAAACTTGTCTTCTCTTAAAAAAACATAACATACACAAATACTAAAAAGTGTTGTAGATGTAGTGAATGTTCTCGTCACTGTATGGTGCCGGGGCTTGCGAAGTCACGGCGAGAGAACTTACGCCGCGCGGGCGGTGCAGCAAACAACCGCTGGTGGCCAGATTGCGGAGAGGACACCCGGCAGGCACGGGGGCATGGCAGGAGACTTGGGAATGGGGCGGCGAGATGTGGGTCGGCGATGAACCCGCGCCCCATGAGCGCCACCACGAACAGCCGCCGGGCAGCCAGGCCACCGAAATGGTGCCCGGCAGGCTGGGCTGCAGGCAGAAGACCCGGGAAGGAGGCGATTCGCAGGCCGCGGCTGTGGGGTGCGGCTCAGCGAGCACCCGCCGACAGTCAAACAGCCCCCCCCCCCCCCAGCAGGCGTGGGGTCAAGCAGCACTTGTGGGAGACGGAGTGGCGCCCCCAACCAAAGCAAGATCCTTTCCAAAGTAATGAAACACAAAAGAGGGCCTCCAAAGTAATCACACGAATAAAACTGCATAACAATTATGGAGAACAGAAATAAAAATAAGGAGAAAGAAGAATGAGTTGGGGATGAATAGATGGACAGGAGAGGTAGCGGATGGCTGCTGCTGCTGCTGGCAGCTTTCGCGTCACTGCCGCCTTTTGCTGCCCCCGCTCCCCCCATCAAAGAGCCTCTTTGTAAACAACATTCTTGGTCTTGCCTGCTGGTGCAAAGCAATGTAAATGTTTTTAATTGCCGATGTTGCGGCATAACAAGGCGCTATAGGTCACTTTACCTGCCACCACGATCACGGGGTAAACTCCCCCCCCCCTCGGGTGGCCCGTGACCAGAGGTTGACACCCCAGACCTCCAAGGGCTGGGGGCTGGGGGGGGATAGAGACCCCCCCACTGATTTTAAGGCCCTTTAGGATTTAAGACCCTTTAAGACCTTCCAGAAGGTTCTGGAGGAGGGGTAATTATGGGAGGAGTAAGCCCCGACCTGGGGATAAAAAGCCGACCCTCTGAACGGGTCCGGCAGTGTTCACCAACTCAAGCCTGAAGACATCCAAGACCTGAAGACTGGACCAGCACCCAAGGACCCTCAACCGAGGCTCTTGCCAGAGCCGGGTTGTAGCGGACCGGTGGTGGAACCAGCACCCTGGGACCCTCAACCGAGGCTTTGGTCAGAGCCGTGTTGTAGCAGGAGGAGCTCCCCCATCCCCCCGGACACCCGACCTTAACGACCCCGTGCCATGTCACCATCACCGGCACCCCCGGGTCCCACCACCTTGGGGGAGGCCGTGCCCGTTGGTGGCCCGGCCATGAGGACCCGGTCCAGGACTCATAGATTTTCCTGACCCCCGACTCACTTACGCGCCTCACACACATTTCACATTGAGTCAAGCACACTTTGCTCCTTTTAGTTGACCTTTATTGCTCTCTTTTGGGATACATTTGTTCAGTGAGTCCTGGGGTCACTTGTTCACAGATCGTTGCCTCGCCTTTTCGTTGGTTAGCGGATGTGTATAGTGTAAATGTGTACAGATGGGTTAAGGTATTTATGGCGGGTCGCTTACCTTCCTCGCAGTTTTTGTTGTTGCTTTTGCTGTTATCTTTGTTCCTGTTGAGGCTCCCGTACCTTGTTCGTTAACTTACCCTTTGGGATTGTTGCCAGCCGGGATGGCTGGGTGCTACGTAGGGGAGGGCGATGTTGCGCCATAACAAGGTGCTGTAGGTCGCTTTACCTGCCACCACGGTCACGGGGTAACCCCCCCCCCCCCTCCGGTGGCCCGTGACCGGAGGGTGACACCCCAGACCCAAAGGGCTGGGGGCTGGGGGGGATAGAGACCGCCCACCGATTTTAAGACCCTTTAGGATTTAAGATCCTTTAAGACCTTCCAGAAGGTTCTGGAGGAGGGGTCATTATGGGAGGGGTAAGCCCCGACCTGGGGATAAAAAGCCGGCCCTCTGAACGGGTCCGGCAGTGTTCACCAACTCAAGCCTGAAGACATCCAAGACCTGAATACTGGATCAGCACCCGGGGACCCTCAAACGAGGCTCTTGTCAGAGCCGGGTTGTAGCGGACCAGTGGTGGGACCAGCACCCTGGGACCCTCTCCCGAGGCTCTGGTCAGAGCCGGATTGTAGCGGACCAGTGGTGGGACCCGTACCCTGGCAGGGTCGGGTCAGTCTAGCCTCCCTTAGCGGCCATGGCCAGGGACCTGGGTGTAGAGTAGCAAAAGGTGTGTAGGACACACTAGAAGGAAGGCTGTACCTCCGTTTGGCTATCGGGTTGAAGGGGCCGTACCCCTTCGTGTTACAGTCGGTGTTCGTAGAGTTGTTGAAATAAACGCATTGCCTCCAGAAGTCGTCTCCGTGTAGTTAGTTAGACACACAACGCCTACACGAGTGTCCATAAAGCTGCTTTTAAAGAGTGTCCTTGCGCCTTGTTAGTGGACATCGCAAAGTTGAGTTAGACAGGGGAATTTAAGCCTCTTAAATTCAAAGACTGTTTCATTTGGCATTATAGGTATGCGAGGGAGAAAGACGTCTTCACCTTCAGAATTGTAATGATTTTTAGCTATGATAACATTTGAATGTAATTTTCACAATTAACCTTGTGCCATTGCATAGTCTAGGTGGGTCCAAGTTTCTCAATAGCAAGACAGGTGTCCGGCCTTCACAGCCTTAGGGGATAACCACATAGCGGGTCGGGACAGCCAACATGCTGCCAGACCCACAGCTTGCAGAGGGCGAAGACAGGTGTCCCAATCTTTAGTATCAAGTTATGTGGTAGAACACCCGGGAGCTCCAGATAATTCAAGAATTCAACTGTATAGTGAACAATTTGATCATGGTCCAACAATGAGTCAATAGACTTGTAGGACTTGTTCTCTCCAGACACTTTCTGCAACAACATGGAATTTATTCCATCAACAGCATAATTTCTTTGGAGCCAAAATAGCCCTCTTCCATTGTTACATGTGTAGTGCGCTAATTCACAGACACTAGTAGGAGGTACTCTATTTTTTTATTCCGGCCTTCACAGCCTTAGGGGATAACCACATACCGGGTCGAGACAGCCAACATGATTCCAGACCCACAGCTTGCAGAGGGCGAAGATCACGATGACGACGGTATGACGAGTTCCACTCTAGATCGCAGCAGCCCCGACTGAGTCGGAGCTCGCCTTATGTCCTGAACAGCATGGACAGGCTCTGCCCTCGGCCCCACACCCCTCTGGATCCCCCAGAGGGCTCCATGCCTTGCCCATAGGTGCAACTGGTAGAACGGGCTGTTACCCCTAATTCTATTGCCTACCAATCTCCCAGTGGCACGTGCTACAGTGACTCATTCAATGTCACTATGCATGTTTTGGTACACTTTTTCCTTAAGCTCCTCTTCTGAAGTGGAAAGGATGCCTTTAGACACGGTGATAAGTCCATCTGTGCCATCAGCAAGAAAACTGCCATTTCCAATATCAACAAGAGCTTCAGCAAAGTTTCCTGCCTCTTGGCCTCCATGGAGATACGCGTGAATGTTTGAAGTTTGCTTCAAGTTTATCACGTGTCTCCAGAGGAATGATGACTTGATGCAGGCGTTTAATTAATCATCTTTGCTTCCTCGAAGTACTACAGGTAAGGTCTGTCGGAAGTCACCAGTCATGAGAAAAGTTACACCACCTATAATCCTGCAATTGTCCCGAAACTCCTGAAAAGGAATGTTGACAACCTCAAATGCTACCTTGCGGGACATGGTGCATTCATCCAACACTATTAATTCACAATTAACCAGGACCTGTGCAAGGGCAGTCCTCTTTGAAATATTGCAAACAGGGAATTTTTATTGGGATAGATCCAATGGAAGCTTGAATGTGGAATGGGCAGTTCTTCCTCCAGTCAGCAGAGTTTCCGCAATCCCTGATGATGCCAAAGCCAGAGCAATTTTCTCTCTCTGGAGAACCTTAGCCAGAAGCAGGCTGAGCACAAAGGTCTTCCCAGTACCAGCAGGTGCATCAAGGAAACATATACCTCCATTTTTATACTCAATATCTTCCAAGATTTTCGTGTAGGCTTCTCTCTGTGCATCCATCAGCTTTGTTTAATTTTCCTCAAGAAAGTTAAGAAGCTCTAAACCATAGTAGGATATTTCACGTAGTATATCTTGGGCAATGGCATGCTGGTTGTCCCTGGAGGGTGTTGGTAGTCCGATAGACTTAAGGTCTCTTCCACCAATGGAGTGAACTGTGTCAAGGAGGATGAGGGCCTAGTTAAAGATGACATCAGAAAAGTTAACCTTGAGGTTGAGATTTTCTCGTTGAGCTCTGTGCAGGATGTCCTCACTCATGCCTTCCTTGTATTTTTCCAGTCTCATGGGGTTAGATGGGCTGCAAACTTGAAGAATTATGCAGAAGAGTCTCAGTTGAGAAGGGGACTGACTAACAGAAGCTTCTGTTATAGCTTTATCAAGATGCTGATCATCTTCAAGAATTTCACGAAGATTGTAAGCTTCCCTGTATGTTTGACAGATAACTCCTTCCACTGTTCTTAGGTCTTGGAAAGATTTTGGTCCTTTGACAACACGGGAAAAGCGTTAGCAGAAAGTAGCACTCCTGATTGTTGGGATGAACTGTGTAGACTCTTCCGAAGGCATCGGATCCACTATCACAAGCACGTCGCTTCCATTTTCTTTTGAGCAGTCCAGGTATAGGAGGAGGGAATTTTATGATAGAGCAGGTTGGAAGCAATTGGGTCACTTTGGCATAAAACAAAATATGCCATAAGGGTTGTATCTCGTGGAGCCAGGGTCTATTTTTGGGCATTTAATTCAGGTGAAGTAGATGCGTTGACCATTTTCGAGGTGAACTGCCAAATGGACCGCTGACGGGGGGAACTCTCGTGGAAGGGAAGCCAAGAATTCTCCAAATGGCCTCGTTGCTGCTGATATATCTTCCTTCGTCAAAAAAGTTGAACTTCATCCACACTTTCCCCTATTTTTGTAAGGCAAACACAGCCATTACGGACCCTTTGTTGATGCATTTGCAAACATATTTTATGGCTTTTACAGAATTGCATAATTCCATGTTAATGTGGGCCTCAAAGATCTTGCACACAAGAGGGCAGTAGGGAATGATCCACTGGTTGTCAACCTTTATTTCAGAGTTAGTGCTAGGTCTGAGCATTGTTTCAAATCCACCATCTTCAGTTATTCTGTGACGATATAGAGGATAACCATCGTGCCCTGCCCGAGTTTCTTTAAATAAGTTTCGTGGATACTTCTTGGTACACTTGCGGTCTTGCATAGATGGTGAATTTGGATTGAGCTCCTCACGTGGGCAATGGGCCATTTGTTTGCAGACCACATCTTTCTTGGGGTCAGGTAGCTCAGCACTGACAAATGTGTCAATTTCACTTGCATGAATTTTTTCCCCTCAACCATAGCAATATGTGGGCATGAGGAAGACCACGTTTTTTGCCACTCAATGGTGTGCAAGTTACATCTTGTCTTCCCAAAGATGCCGCCTTCCTTTGTCGTAATAACCCTTGCGAGTTTATTAACTGAGTTTAAACACCCTTGCAATGATGTCGTGTCTCTCTGTTGGCTTTTGGTTTTGATAAATCTCAACCTGGATCTCGTTCCATTTTGGATCGCAAGTGAAGGTGATAAAGAGATCGGGCCCTGCCATATTGCCTGACGTAGGTCATTGCATCGTGAGTCCTCTCACGCGTGTATCTTGGTCCACCTGTGAAGGATGAGGGCAAAATCTTGAATTTCCATCAGCATTGATAGCGTCCCTGGGATGAACATGCTGTTCTACACGCAGGCGTTTTTGATTGAGTTTAACGTAAAGAAGGCGCTCACTCTCAATTTTGGCATACTCATCCACAACATACTGGTGAAAAAGGTGGGCGCACCTTAATATGCAGTTTCCTCCTTCTCTGTCCATGATCATGCAGGAATAGAAGTCTTTAGAGGAGACGGTTTTGTCAGGATGATTTTGGCGCATTGCTTTGATAATTTGAGGAATCTGGAAGTGGTACCCATTTTGCCCATGCCACAGTATCATGGGGCATCATATGCTCTGTTTGTCTCAGGAATTCGTTTGATGGTGTTGCCTTGGTATCGAAGCACAATGCCTCTCTTACCATGTTCTTCGCCCACCATAAGAACAGCAACCTCACCACAAGTTGGGGCATTGATCCTCTGTGCATGCTCCACCCCTTGGCCCCTTGGATGCACTGATTACAATTCTAGATTTAAAGCTTTCGTGACTGCTAGGATCCATACTCTTTGGTTCTATTGGGTAAAGTCACGATGAAGGCCGCTTGTCTTGTGGCCGAAACGTCGTGATTTTTGTTATTTTATTTTTTACCTACGTGACTTTACCCATTAGAACCAAAGAGTATGCACTGATTACAACCTGATAATCATTGGAGAAGACTTGTTGTGCTGCATGTTTGAAACTTGTAATCAATAAATTGTGTTGGTTGAACATGGAGTGAGAGGACAATTTCTAGTCTGGCACCAGGAATATTGCTGCATTGCTGGTTACCTTGCTGGCCTTCATCTCCCATGAAGTATATCTGAATAAACTTGTGCTCTTCACCAGGCAGTGGTTGAATGGATCCGATTCGATGATAGACTTAGTCTTGAACTTTGAAGGTGGGCATAAAGCCTATTCCTTTGTTGCACGATGTTGTATATATTAGGTTTTAAAAATTTGGGAAAAAAATGTGTAAGTTTCTGAAAATATGCAAATTTATGTAATTATGCTAATTATTCATTTATGCCAATTATGCTCTGCTTCATTGCCGAGGCGTATTTCCTATCGTAACAATAAAATGAAGGTGTAATTGTATGAAGTTATGCAAGTGTAATTTATACTAATTAGGCTTGGCTTCGTTGTGTAGGGTTGTTTATTCATCATGATAATAGAATGATTTTCGCTTTAACTTTTACTGATTATGTTTTAGTGTTTATGCCAGGTCTCAAAATTCAGATCTCACTGCAGGATACAGTTCTTACAATTCAGATTATTATGCATGAACTTAGGAAGGGACCACTAAGACTCTTCTGTGTTAAGCAACTTTAATATCTAAAAAAAAACAACACTCTAATATGCAAACTCTTATGCGAGGAATGTCAACACAGTACTCCTGGAGATGTGCTCCTCCTTGATCCGTACATTTAACCTTCAATGGTTACGTTTGTTAAACTGGGTAGAGAACAATCGGCTAATTCCTCAGAGTAAAGCAACCATACACGGCGACAGGAAGTCCTTAAAAATTAATGTGACAATATTCATACAAACAGTAATCAAGAAAAATGTGCCGAAGGCAAAAGAAAACATCAATGAAATGTTTTGTAACAATGGTGTGCAGCAGTGTGCCTGCTTGTCTAACAAATGCTTATCAATTGGCTAAGAGCTTCAATAAATTCGCAGGCAAGATTCTGTGATCAAAAGAAAGATTTTAATACAATAGTATATCTGTGAGTGTGTAGATTCGTAACAGAAATGTTTATAAATGTTTTGTTTAATCAATTAATTCATTGGTACAGTTATGCAATTAATGAAAACGAATGACTAAAATACTTCTAAACGACCGTATCCACGTAACTCAATGGGCAGCAATGCTTTTCACGATCAGCTAATATTTAATGCACCCACTTTAGATGACCACCCTTTTTGAAACACAAAAATAACTTTCGGAGCAATCTTATTAGTCCCAATATGTGCGTTGTGTGGGTGTATTGTTTTCGTGCTCCACTTTTTGAGTTAAGTGGTTCCCTGCCAGGTGGTTAGTCGTGTATGCGTGGGCGTGTCATACACATAGCGCTCTCTCTCTCTTGGCAGCAGCTCCAGGCCTCTCCGTTAAGGCACGATGCTCATCTTTGAAGGTGCCCGATTGCGCTCGCAGCTCGTCCGCTGATCGCTAGCGCCAATATTTTTAATCGGTTCCGCTGGTTACGCGCTCTCTCTCCTTCTCCGAGCTCTCCTTCGGTGGTGCATGACTGCGCTCGCAGCTCGTCCGCTGGTCGCCAGCGTCGACACTCTTTCTCGGTTGCGCTGGTTACGCGCTCTCTCTCCTTCTCCGAGCTCTCCTTCGGTGGTGCATGACTGCGCTCGCAGCTCGTCACTGGTCGCCAGCGCCGACACTCTTGCCCACGTGGTATGTATGGTAATACTGCGGAGTACCAGCTTTTGACGACAGCCTCTCTCAATGACAAAAAAACGAACAAAAGAAAAACTCCGCGACCCGTGGCTTCTGCCGATGCCTGTCATGGGGGCAGATTCCCGGATCCTGCCACTTGCACGACTAAATTGTGTGTTCTGTGTCCTTGCTTATATCTGAAATTCTCCCCCCTCGGTGGATCTTTCACAAAGGAAACGGGGATCCCTTTGAATTCGCTCTCCTTTGTGGTTACAGCTGCTAGTTGCCCCTCCGAGTAGAGCGAGTGCTTTTTTTCTGCCATAATTCATCTGGAAGCAGGAGGGGGGTGGTTCCTTTTGCCCTTTGTTCAGCTGCGTTCCCCCCTTATCTTCCCTCACAGTTGGGGGTATTACATTTTTCTTGTTGTCTCTCACAAAGAGGGGCGCTGTCTTTTGAAGTGTGTCCTCTTGTCACCATGTTTTCCGTTCACTCTTACGGGTTTAGAGAAAAATAAATATTATTTACCGCCCTTTATCTTAGTATTTTTACAGCACTTCGTCGTGATTTGGAATATCTTCATGGTGTTTGATATATCAAGGGGAGGCGCCCTCCCTGCCTACGTAGTTTATTGCTACCATGTGCTGCTGGAAGACAAAGGCAGTTGGGGAGGCTCTGATTTTATGGAATGCATTTTATCTTGTCGTGTGTGATGGACCTATTTCGCCTTGTATCTCTTCTGAATGACTCTAGGTCTAATACTTCATAATTATGATTTGGTTTATGTTCAACCAAGATTTGTGATCTACCATAGTTGTATTAACCTCTGTTCCCAGTCTGTATCGCCAGGGATCCGTGCTTCTCATTCTCGAGTTGTGAGGGGTGAGGGGTGTATTATTTCACCCTTTTTTGCCCCATGCTACACCCCGATCGATTATTACAACAAAAATATTGGCAGAATTACTCAATATACATTTTGGAAAAGGGGCATATATACAACAACCAAAATAAGTCATTTGAAAGCAAGAATTGTACTTCCTGATGTTGGTCAGAAAATGTTTACAGAAGTATGGCCAGATACCAAGGATTTCAGTGGCTCAGGGGGCGGGGGGGTGCACAAGGAAAAGTTTGACTTTTCCATCACTGCAGCACATTCCCTTGGATTCTCCTTTCCACTTTTTAGTAACGCATTCTTCGCAAGTAATTGATATAGAGCCTAATATCACCATAGACTGATAATAATCGATCGCAGATTGGTAATTTAAAGCTGCTTTGTTCCAGTTCTGGTTATTTCTTCTTGTTCTTGATCCAGCAGCATGATGGAATTGCCTATGACGTACCATTTTTTTATTTTGGGGTTCCTCAGCCTGTGCTGCTGCAGTGTATGTGCGGTCCCTGGCTTGTCGAGATGCACGATGTTCAGGGTTTTCTTCAGCCCGTGCTGCTGTAGTGACTGTGTGGTCCCTGGCTTGTCAAGATGCACAAAGTTCAGGGTGTTCTTAAATCCGTGCTGCTGCAATGACTGTGCGGTCCCTGGTTTGTCGAGATGCACGATGTTCAAGGTTGTCTTCAGTCCGTGCTGCTGCAGTGTATGTGCGGTCCCCGGCTTATCGGGATGCACAATGTTCTGGGTTGTATTCAGCCCGTGCTGCTGCAGTGACTGTGCGGTCCCTGGCTTGTCAAGATGCACAATGTTCAGGGTGTTCTTCAATCCGTGCTGCTGCAGTGACTGTGCAGTCCCTGGCTTGTCGAGATGCATGATGTTCAGGGTTTTCTTGAGCCCGTGCTGCTGCAGTGACTGTGTGGTCCCTGGCTTGTCAAGATGCACAATGTTCAGGGTGTTCTTCAATCCGTGCTGCTGCAGTGACTGTGCGGTCCCTGGCTTGTCGAGATGCACGATGTTCAGGGTTTTATTCAGCCCGTGCTGCTGCAGAGATTGTGCGGTCCCTGGCTTGTCAAGATGCACGAAGTTCAGGGTGTTCTTAAATCCGTGCTGCTGCAGTGACTGTGCGGTCCCTGGCTTGTCGAGATGCACGATGTTCAGGGTTTTATTCAGCCCGTGCTGCTGCAGAGATTGTGCGGTCCCTGGCTTGTCAAGATGCACCAAGTTCAGGGTGTTATTAAATCCGTGCTGCTGCAGTGACTGAGCGGTCCCTGGCTTGTCGAGATACACGATGTTCAGGGTTTTCTTCAGCCCGTGCTGCTGCAGTGACTGTGCAGTCCCTGGCTTGTCCAGGTGCACGATGTTCAGGGTTTCTTCAGCCCGTGCTGCTGTAGTGACTGTGTGGTCCCTGGCGTGTAGAGATGCATGATGTTCAGGGTTTTCTCCAGCCTGTGCTGCTGCAGTGACTGTGCGGTCCCTGGCTTGTTGATATGCACGTTTTGCTGTAGTTTCCTTAGCCCGTGCTGCTGCAGTGGCTATACGGTCCCTGGCTTGTCGAGATTCACGTTGTGCAGTAGTTTCCTTAGCCCATGCTGCTGCAGTGGCTTCGCGGGCCCTGGCTTTTCGAGTTGCCCGTTGTTCTGGTGTTTCCTCAGCCCGTGCTGCACAACTGCATGTGCAGTCTGTAGCTTGTCTCCATGCACACTGTTTAGGATTTACCTCGGCGAGTGCTTCTGCGGAAGTAACTCTGCAGTCTCTGTCTTGTCTCCATACATGCTGTTCAGGATTTACCTCAGCGTGTGCATCTGCAGAAGTAACAGTAGAGTCTGTAGCTTGTCTCCATGCACAATGCTCTTCAGTTTCCTCAGGCCGTGCTACTGAGGTGCCTTCGTTGTTTGTTAACTGTTGAGAAAGCCGCTGCTCCTCCACCGTCTCTTTTACGCACAATGGCACCATTTTCTTTCTGTGTTTTTTTTTCTGGGAGAGCCTTGATTTTTTTCTTTTTGGCATTTTTCCTCGAAGGAGAAGCTTGCTCCCGTCGCCGCTCAGCAAGCTCGTTTGTGTTTCTAGACAAAAAATTACGTTTTTAGGTAAGATAGCTCGGAGGAAAAATATATTTCACAACTTGTGTTATATAACATGTGCATGAACAAATACTAAGCTATTGTAAAAGCTTAGTATATGAATGGTTTCCAAAAATTGACAACCACTCCCCTCCAAAAATCTTTTTACCCCCCCCCCCCCCCCCGCAGCCAATTTTAATTTGACTTAAAGCTTTCGTGACTGCAGGAATTCATATCTTGGGTCTTTTGGTAAAGTCACGTAGATAGCTTCTACGTGACTTTACGTATGCAGTAAAACCTTGGATTGCGAGCATAATTTGTTCCGGAAACGTGTTTGTAATCCAAAGCACTCGTATATCAAAGCGCTCGTATCAGTTGTGATCAAGTGACGCTCGGAAGACAAAGCGTATACGTACTACTCGTATTGCAAGACCTCGCTCGTTTATCAAATTAATATTTCTTTAAAATGTTTGCTCGTCTTGCAAAACACTCACAGACCAAGTTACTCGCAATCCAAGGTTTTACTGTATATAACTACACACCCTACATACAATAGTCCGTAGTATCTAGTGACTATAGACATATCTGGCTCTACAGTATCATCTACTGACTCTATTGTCTTATCTGCTGACTCTGTAGTTGTATCTACTGACTGTAGTAGTATCGACTAACTCTATAGTAGTATCGGCTGACTCTATAGCAGTATCTGCTGACTCTATAGCAGTATCTGCTGACTCTATAGCGGTATATACTGACTCTATAGTCGTATCTACTGACTCTGCAACAGTATATACTGATCTTGATTTGAAGCTTTCATGACTGCAGGAATTCATACTCTTTGGTTCTTTTGGTAAAGTCATGTAGATAGAAAAACAATACATCTTTATGGTAACCCCTGCTAGGTATCTTTTGGTATGTACCATCTATATTCTTAGTTTTTTCGGTAAAGTCACTTTGAAGGGAAACAACAACATAATAAAATATATAAAACAATAAAAAAATATGTATTTTATATATATTATATATATTTTATTATTTTGTTGTTTCCCTTCAACGTGACTTTACCGAAAAAACTAAGAATATGAATTACTGCAGTCACGAAAGCTTTAAATAAAATTTTTATGTACCATCTGTTAAGTTGTGCCTGCGGTAGCAGTTACATTGGGGAAGCAAAACGACATGTATATTCTTGGTTCTTTCATGTATATTCTTGGTTCTTTCGGTAAAGTCACGTAGAAGGGAAACAATAAAATAATAAAAATATAAAACAATAAAAATCATGATGATTGCTTGTGTTGCAGTCGAAACGTCGTGAGAATTTTATTGCTTTATATTTTTGTTATTTTATTGTTTCCCCTCTACGTGACTTTACCGAAAGAACCAAGAATATGAATCCCTGCAGTCACGAAAGCTTTAAATCAAAACATGTCTCGGACCTTGTTCGCGAACACAAGGCAGATCTGAAACACGGCAGAACCAATACTTCTGCTGTGGCTGATCCCTGTTTTAATGCTGTGGGCCCACACGAAATAGTTTTTTTCCAAGACCAAAGTACTATGCAAACCTTTGGGCTACCATCAAAGATTTTGATTTAAAGCTTTCGTGACTGCAGTAATTCATATTCTTAGCTCTTTCGGTTTGTTTGTGTTATGGTCGAAACGTCGTGAGAATTTGTATTGTTTTATATATATTTTATTATTTTATTGTTTCCCTTCAACGTGACTTTACCGAAAGAGCTAAGAACATCAAATATTTGTTCATGAAGCCATCCAGACACATAAACACAGACATAACTTGAACCGAGAAGATGGATACAAATTAAGCAATCATTGGAAGGACGTAATCAACAAGGTAAAGTTGTATCTTCTTCCATATTCCCTTCATACCAGCCAATATTAGCCGAGTTGCAGTGCTGAGTTTTAGTTTCAGCCTCCCTGCTTTTCTCTCTTTCACTTGAAGACGATTGCTTGTGTTGCGATCAAAACACCTCTCTCTTCTGCTCGTTCCCTCTTTGGATTTCTCACTCGCTTAGTCTCATGCATTGACATGGCCCTTACCGAGCTTACATTTACAAGCAAATTTCCGGACCCTAGCCGAACTCAACCCTCACCGAGCTTATATTTACAAGCAAATTTCCGGACCCTAGCCGAACTCGACCCTCACCGAGCTTACATTTACAAGCAAATTTCCGGGACCTAGCCGAACTCGGCCCCCGTTGAGCTTCCCCCAACATTTACAAGCAAATTTCCGGGCCCTAGCCGAACTCGACCCTCACCGAGCTTACATTTACAAGCAAATTTCCGGGCCCTAGCCGAACTCGACCCTTGCCGAGCATCCGCCTCGCTCTAGCCCGATGTGGCACCCCCCCTCCCCCCTCTCTCGGGTCTATATAATGCCTTGTCTCTGCAGCCTGTTTCTCTCTCTCACCTGAAGACAGATGCTTGTGTTGCGATCAAAACGTCGTGATCTATTATTTTTCTATCCACGTGACTTTACTGAAAGAACCAAATAGTATATACTGACTGTAGTGGTATCTGTTTGTAGTATCTACCGACTCCACGGTAGTATCTACCGGCTCTATAGTAGTATCTACTGACTCTACAGTAGTATCTAAGGCCTATAGTAGTATATAATGAATCTATCGTAGTATCCATTGACTAAAGTAGTATCTTCTGACTCTATAGCGGTATATACTGACTCTATAGTCGTATCTACTGATTCTACAGCAGTATATACTATAGTAGTATGTAATGAATCTTTACTAGTATCTATTGACTAAAGTAGTATCTGACTACAGTGGTAAATATTAACTCTATAATAGTATCTACCGAATCTATAGTAGTATCTACCGACTCTACAGTAGTATCTACCGACTCTATAGTAGTATCTACCGACTCTATAGTAGTAACTACCGACTCTATAGTAGTAACTACCGACTCTAGTAATATCTACCAACTCTACATTAGTATCTACCGACTCTATAGTAGTATCTACCGACTCTATAGTAGTATCTACCGACTCTATAGTAGTAACTACCGACTCTATAGTAGTAACTACCGACCCTATAGTAGTATCTACCGACTCTATAGTAGTATCTACCGACTCTATAGTAGTATCTACCGACTCTATAATAGCATCTACCGACTCTATAGTGGTATCTACCGACTCTATAGTAGTATCTACTAACTCTACAGTAGTATCTACCGACTCTATAGTAGTATCTACCTTCTCTATAGTAGTATTTACCGACTCTACATTAGTATCTACCGACTCTACAGTAGTATCTACCGACTCTATAATAGTATCTACCGACTCTATAATAGTATCTACCGACTCTATAGTAATATCTACCGACTCTATAATAGTATCTACCGACTCTACAGTAGTATCTACCGACTCTACATTAGTATCTACCGACTCTACATTAGTATCTACCGACTCTACATTAGTATCTACCGACTCTATAATAGTATCTACCGACTCTATAGTAGTATCTACCGACTCTACATTAGTATCTACCGACTCTATAGTAGTATCTACCGACTCTACAGTAGTATCTACCGACTCTACAATAGTATCTACCGACTCTATAATAGTATCTACCGACTCTACAATAGTATCTACCGACTCTATAGTAGTATCTCCCGACTCTACAATAGTATCTACCGACTCTACAATAGTATCTACCGACTCTACAATAGTATCTACTGACTCTATAGTATCTACCGACTCTATAATAGTATCTACCGAATCTAAAGTAGCAACTGCACACATTGAGGTGGGGGGGAGAGGATAGGACATCACACTGTTCAGAATTTACCTCAGTGTTGTGCTTCTGTAGTTTGTTTTGCCTTTGTAACGCGAAGAAGCTCCCTCACGTCGCCGCTGGGCCAGCTCGCGTGAGTTTTATTGGGCCGACCGCGAGAAGGCCTTTTCCGCGTACGCAAATTATTCTAAAGTTGCGATTTAATTCGTTTACATTTGACGGGAGGGCAAAAACAATTGGCGCGTTTTCGTCCGGGGGGCTTCGTGCGTTGCACCCGTGTACTTTTGTTGGAACGTAAACCCAACAGTTTGTGAGTTAAAAGCGTTGCAAAGGATACGTGCGGGCAGTCAGACACGACTCCCGTGTTAAACTGATTGAACAAAGACGCTGGAGCCAGAGGGAATCCCTCTGCTCTGGCATTGCGCTCCCCCCCCCCCCGCCCGTTAGAAGCCCAAGAAACTCGCGGACTCCGTGAGGCCGGAAGTGACGTTGCGTCGTTCTTTCGGGTTGGACAAGATGGCGGAGCAACGTGGCGCCCAAGTGGCCGAGGCGCGGCCGAAGCGGAAAAAGATGAATAAGAACAAGAAGAAGAACTGGGTCAAGTGCAGCGATGTCACGGACGTCGAGGAGTTCCTGGAGGACGTGAGGCTGCAGGAGCGGACCACGGGGTGAGCCCACGAGCGAGTTATGATGCCAGGCCGCGAATGCAAGCCTGCCTTTCTTGGTTTACCCGCCGCCGAGCGCGACTCGATGCCCGCGGAGCTGAGGGCTGCGACGTCCCCCCCCCCCCCACACACACCACCCCTTGTTTGTGGGATTGAGGCCTCTCAATTAAAACGGGAACCAATTCAGATAATTATGTTATAGATGCTTCCCTATGTAGTGTGATTCAGAATTACCCGGCGCGCGTGTGAATCATCGGCTTAGGTTTTACCGAAGTGACAATCTCGCGCCGCCTTTGCCGCGTGTCTCCTTGTACAGGGGCCTGGTGAAAGATCAGCCGGATGCAAGCATTTTCTTCTTCGACACCAAAAATAAATCAAAAGGTACGTTTTCGCCGATAATATAAAAGCATACGCACGCTGAGTCTCACAAAGGGCTGTAAGCACAAAGTGAAATGTTCACATCAGACACGTAACCCAAACCGCACCAGCTAACCTGTCGCTAACCATAATCACGAGCAAATCAAACTTTAAACTAATCGCACTAACCAGCGAGATCCCTGCACTAGTAATTAAACCGATCAACCAGACACTTAACTCTACACCGCTGACCATATTGTAGACGGTATAACACGTGCATTGAAACTTGTTTTTAAATAGTTCTAGAAATAATTATATCACAAGCCAAACTGTATAACCGCTCCCCATCTTTTGCTCTTTCGTTTTAACTCGAGAACTCAATCGTTTAAGATTGTATTGACTACCTTTTGTCCCCCAACAGACCGAAATTCTAACAAAAGCCGCCGGGACAGGCCCTTGAAAATCGATCTCATTCTGCAGCCCAGCTCCGGAGTAGACACCCCCCTAAAGTGAGTGTTCCTCGAAATTGAGCTTTAAAACAACGACAGCCCTGTACCTGGTGCAGTGACGTGGAGACGAAGGGTTTATAATATGTGCATGGCTTTGCCACTACCATTATCACCTTGGTTGCCGTGCAAACCTAAATTGGTTCTCACGATCAGAACGTGGCCAGGCAGTCTATACATCTAAAATAAGTAATTTGGTCGTGATATTGTGAGTGTGTTAAGAGACAGTTAATCTTTAAACGAATCGCACTAGTGTATTAACAATGTGTAAAGTGTTATAATGTGTATTAATATATAATAGCGTTATTGTGTATAGGATATGTCTACTTTTGTGAGTGTACATGGTGAGTAATATGTAGTGGTTCGTGTGTGGGGTTAGAATTCTACCATTATGGATTTGTTTCTAGTGCAGCAACAGCAAGTGATATCTCGATATGCCCTGTGCACGCATTGTCTATTCAACCTTAAATGAGTGCCTGATGCTTTCTATGAACTTAAGCACTTGCGAGACCGAGGTTTTCAGGCATGGTGCTCTACAAAATTGGCAGATCATGTGGAAATTCATAGCAGCCAACTACTCTTAAACGCCTGCTTCTAAATGTGGAGGGGAAAACCGGAGGACCCGGAGAAAAATCCATGCAACCACGGGGAGACGGACATGTAATCCCACAACCTCCTGGATACCAGGCGAGGTAGTTTACATCTCACCACCGTGGCCTAATACGTGCTGACAGAAAGCACTCCGACCGTCAGTCTCTAACGCCAAATGAGGGACCTTTGCAATTGCAGACATGCATGGTGTATATGTATGTGGGTGTTTTTTTAATCGACAAATTACAATAAAGGAACGAATGCTGCACGCATATGCAAGGGGGAGAGTGGCGTTTGATACGAGCGTGGCGCTGTCCAGCCTGAGCGTGCAGCAAGTCCCTGGCGCACGTCGCGCACGCCGGCGTGTGGCGCGGTGCGAGCGGTACGGGCCCAACTCCGGCGCCGACGCTCGTGCCGAGAGGCTGCTGCTTGCGCGGGCACGTGCAGCGCGGAAGCGAGCCAGCGCCCCGCCTGAGCCAGGGAAGGCCGAGCGCCCATTCTATGACTTGTGGGATAGCAACGGTGAGGCCACAGTCGGGGCTGTTGTGGTCTGACAGCTGTTGCGGCCGGCGATTCTTGTTGTTGCTTTGTTTATACAGCTATATTCCAATTGGTGCTGTTGCGGTAATTTAGTCACGAGGTTTTTAAATGTACATTCAAAACTCAACATTGGGACACCTTTCATTATGTACTCTGTTCACAGGCTTGTAGCATGTCAATCATACTCAAATATTTAATCTTTGGGAACTAAAATATGTGGAATTAGATGCTGAACTAAAGTGTTATATACTTTTTTTCTGCAGTCATTGGTGGCTGAGCAGAGACCATTGACTCCATCGTAAAATTGACAACTTGGTTGAATCGCTTGTGGCTGGGATGCAGATTTGAACCCAGTTTCTCAGCAATTCCTGCTCACTGCTCCAGTATAGTATCAGCCCTCTGAGCTACCAAGCCACCTGCACGGCTAGATGTAGTCTGGTTATGTCGAGCATTGAGCAAGACATGCCCAGGTTTAAGATGTTTCAGTATGCACGCAGTGGTTCCAATCACACTACAATGTAATTAACTATATCCATAATTTATTTGTGCATGAAACATTCCATATATTGAACGTACACTCAATTGTTAAACAAAAATTATATGAAACAAGATCGTTGAACTCCTTCAGCACCGTACATAGCCAACCGCGCTAATGGGAGGTGCGGGGGAAGGACAACAAACTAAACACAAAGCAGTTCTAAAGAAATGTCATTGTGATGTCGCCGTGTGGTTCAGGGCCCCTGGGCAAGGAGCTGCAGGGCCAGGATGATTGGTTTCTTGAACAAACCAAGCGCAAACGAGTGAAGGTGAGCCCTGCTCACAGCCTCGCTGTTGGCGCATGCTGCTTGTACGCATTCACCACCTGTACGTACCGCTTTCAAAATTCTCGCTGGCACCATATGATGACTCCTGCTACATGCTCATTTCGATACTTATTGATCACTTTCCTGGTATTCCCACCCATGTGGGGTCAGTGTTCTTGGTACTCTTTTTAACCACCCAATTCTTTCCAGGGCTTTACCACATTCACTGCACATTCCTTCATACCCTGACTCGGCACTTGGACCATATGCATGCCTCGGTCGATGGCTGTGTTTAGTGTCATGTGGTTATGGTGTATTAATTTGGTTCTGTTTGTGGTTGTGAATGTTTGTGTAGTTGCTTGTCTGCACGTGTCTGTGGGTTGATGTATTTCTGTTAATGCAGTTGTGTGCTCTCTGCTGGTCGGATCTTGCATGGTTTTTCCTTTACAGCCACACATTCTGATGCTGGAAAAGCCATCTCGTGTCCCAGCTGTAGAAGCTCCCCTACCAGGCCTCTCTTACAACCCCGCCTACGAAGACCACCAGGTGATGCATTGTACTTTAAAACACCTCCTTCTGGCAGGCAGACTAATGCACACTTGCAGGCCCAGGTGGTGCTGAGTCACCTTGTGCCGTATAGAAACAACTCACTGAGGGCTCCCTTTCATCTCACTACCCTGGTGCAGTGGCAAGATGTTTACTCCCTCGTCTGGTAAACAGGAGTGCGTGGGTTCGATTCCGACCCTGCCACCTGTATATTCGGAGTTTGCATATTCTCCCCATGGTCATTTGGATTTTTCCCCGGGTCCTCTGGTTTTTCCCTCCACATGATAAGAGACTTTGTTGAACTATCATTTGTGGCCAGGTTGCTTCTGAAAGAGCTACATATCTCAGTAGATAAAATAATAAATTGTTTAGTTGATAGTTTTAAATGTTTAAGACATGCAGTATGTAGTTTGTCATGTGTAAAGCGCTATTGAGATGCCCCTTCCTGGAGGAGGGTATTGTTCAGTGTTTTATTATATACACACATGAAGCATGCATGTTGACAATAAATATATCAATGACCTGGAATCAAATCCAGGTCACCAGTATCTGCACAACTGCTTTCCACACCAAACACACAAAGATTATCTAAAAAGCCTACATAGACTACTGGCACACTCATTCATATGCAAATACTACCTAACTGATAACCAGATGGTCTCTTTCCTAGCTGCTGGTCAAGATGACACTAGTTAAGAGTTATGAGCTGAGCAACAGTGGGGTATGGTTATAACCCACGTGTGCTACTTTTGGTCCTAGTTAATTTGTTCATGAAGGAGGTTTGAGCTGAATTATTAGTGATAGGGCTATAATATGTTGAGTGGCTGCTGAAAGTCATTGTGAAAAGCCAGTCTTAGATACTTTAAAGGGCGAGGATAATGAGCTAGGGCAGAGTTGAAGCCTTGTTAGTTGGATCATTATGGCCAGTGTTGACAGCCGATTCACATCCCACCGTACCAGCTGTGCAGTCACTTACCTGACCCCAGTGAACCTTCAAAAGTGCCTCTGCGGTGCCCAATGATGAAAGCCATCCTTGCGCTCCCAGTATTCGTGGCCGCAAGGCCAGAATGTGACGACCCGTGTGGGACCCCGTGCCGGCCTCGTTGGCCGCGCTTGCGGGGCTGAGGGCACCGCACTGTACACCCCCCGCTCCTCCATGGGGCTTGCTTCATTCCACCAGAGCTCGGTTCAATCCCAGGCTTGGTTTGAGTCACAGGGCTCAATTGTTGAGAGACTTTGTGAAACTGGACTCTGCATCTGCGCCAGACAACAGGTGCCTTCTATGGAAATGTTTAGGACGGACAACATTAATTAAAACCAGCTGACAGTGCGTGTTCTGTGTACGTGTGTTCTGGGTGTGTTTGTGTGTGTGCGCTTGTG